AAGGAAGAAAAGAAATGTATTGTCTGAAATTACACTGACTTAGTCTCATTTTGACTTACTGATCACTCTTGCTATTATTCTATCTGAATCTGAAAGGTTACGATACCATTTGAAGCTTTGGCCAATTTATTTTGACCCAATATGCGAAATTGTACAATTAAAAACAACAAGTCACTTTTTAATTATTTTTAGATAGTTAATCAAACAAGTTCAATTATCCTAAGTTGAATTGCTACAAATTTCAATGAAACAATAAATAACACAAGAATTGTTGACGAAGAATATCCAATCGAGTAAAAACTTCAATATCAAGCTAGTAACCTCTATTATAGACAATGATGAACTTACAGTACAATTTAGTCTAGAAAATTCAACTAGACTCCCTGATCTACTTCCTGCAATTTTCAAGATCCACTGTAACATGCTTCACTAACACCTATTTCCAATCTTATGAAATTTTCCCTCTCTTGTAGATCACCAAGAACTATTTATTTTCGTACTTTTTCTATGCTTTTGGTCCAAACTTCATCAATTTTCAGCAATCTCTTAAAGCCATTAAGAAAGTGCATTCCTATATGTATAAAGAAAGTGGGTGTTTTAGCTTATAAAATGATATTTTTCCACCCAAATGATGTGAGTAGTAGGTAAACGGTTAGGTAAATGATTATATACGTGTAGCACGATCATTGTCCCAAAGTATGATAGCTTTCCATGTTGAGAGTATAATAAATTTTTTAATATGTCCATATTTAATATATCTTAGTTATCAATAAATATGAATTATCATTATTTATGTAGGGATATAATGAGAAAACGAAAGCAAAATTTAAAGTTTCACTTATATTAATTAAGCAAATCTATTTTCGTGAAATGAATGAAGCATATTGTTGTGGGTTGACAAAGTATTTTAAAATGATTTTTTTGCAATAGCAAATTAATAGATATAAGGAAGAAAAAAAATGTATAGTCTGAAATTACACTGACTTAGTCTCATTTTGACTTACTGATCACTCTTGCTATTATTCTATCTGAATCTGAATGGTTACGATACCATTTGAAGGCTCTTTTTGGCCAATTTATTTTGACCCAATGTGCGAAATTATACAATTAAAAGCAACAAGTCACTTTTTAATTGTTTTCAGACAGTTAATCAAACAAGTTCAATTATCCTACAATGAATTGCTACAAATTTCAATGAAACAATAAATAACACAAGAATTGTTGACGAAGAAATCCAACTGAGTAAAAACTTCAATATCAAGCTAGTAACCTCTACTATATACAATGATGAACGTACAATACAATTTAGTCTAGAAAATTCAACTAGACTCGTTGATCTACTTCCTGCAATTTTCAAGACCCACCGTAACTTGCTTCACTAACAACTATTTCTGATCTTCTGAAATTTTTCTCTATCTTGTGGATCACCAAAAACTATTTATTTTCGTACTTTTTTCTATGCTTCTGGTCCAAACTTCATCAATTTTCAACGACCTCTGAAAGTCATTAAGAAAGTGCATTCCTATATGTATAAAGAGAGTGGGTATTTTAGATTATAAAATGATATTTTTCCCAAATATGTGGTAGTTTGAATTCAAGAATCAATGGATTCTCTTCATCCTT